AATGACCTAGGGTTTTTCTCATTGTGTGTCTATTTTGGGGTGAGGTGGGGTTTGGTGTCCTTGGAATTTGCTCTGAGTTCATTGTTTAAGCTGCCATTAGACATTCCCTTTGACTAACATCCTTGCAATGTTATTTGCATTTCTGTGCTACTATCGATCAATCTTTAAAAATATATCTCAAAAAAATTGGTAAAATTTGGATCTTTCTTGTATTTCTCTTTCCTTGATTAATTTCACTTTTGATTTTTTACTTTGTTGGTTCTTGTGGGTTCTATTTTTACTTTTTTATTTTTTTTCCCTCATTGCACGGTACTTTGATAATGCTTTCTTACAATTGTTTCTTTCGATCCATGCAGGTGAATTGTTCACGGCCACAGCAGGAAGGGATTTTACGCCGCATGTAATCACTGTATATACCGGAGAGGTAGTGAGAATTCTGTTAGCTCTTAAAATGATCTTTTTGCAGATTCACCTGTGTTTCTGACATTCTATGTGGTATTTGTATTTTGGAATACATAGGACGTTGCAGGGAAGATCCTTACATTTGCTCAAAAGGGCGTTCGAGGGATTTGCGTTCTTTCTGCTAATGGTTCTGTCTCCAATGTTACAATTCGCCAACCCGGTTCTTCTGGTGGTATCTTGACATATGAGGCATGGTCTCATTCGATTGATGCCAAGAGAAAAGAACTTTGCTTTTTTATTATTTTATGCTTATATTCATTTCAACTTGCTTTGGCTTTTTCGTCGTACTAACACAGATATGATCTTTGCTGTCTTTGGGATGTCAACGGCTTTTCATTTTGATTCACGCAGCATGCACATACATAGCATCTTGCATCCACATTTCTGCAATTCCCGAAGACGTTATTTTTGGTTTCTTAGGACTCTGCAATGGTATGGTTAGTGTGGACTTAGAGCATCTCCAACGGTGGTGTCAAATTAGATGTAAATTGGTATCTTTAAAACTAATTTTTCATCCTCATTTACATTCCGGTAGATCTAAATTTAAATTTTGCCCCAATTGAAAGATTTAAAACCATTTTTTACCTCTCCAGAATGGAAAAAATATGTAAATTTACATCTTTTTTCACATTTTCCGCCGGAAAATGTAATTTGCATCTCTCCATTAGAGAGGTTTCATACCACTTTGGAGATTTAAATTTCTATCTTACATCACCATTGGAGAGTCTCTTAACGTTGCCCTATCATGCTAGTCATTTGCTTAGAATTTTTTTGCTACATTGAATTATGAACTCATTCTTTTCGTGCTTTATCTTGTTGCATGAACTTTAGCGATTATTCCTTTGAATCAAATTGAAGTATGTTATTAGGAGAATGTCGTGTTCAGGGTACGACAAGAAATATTTTTTTGTATTGCGTTGCGCTGATCCTAGTTAAGTATTTGCTTGAAGTAGCATCTGGAGAATGCCATATTTTCAGAGCATCAAGCTTTTCCTCACTCAGTTCTATAATTAAGGGGTACTTATTAGTTGTTCAACAGTAAGAGAGCACCTTGATATTTAGGGAACATGAGACTATTATTTATGATAAAAAGGAAGATCCCTACTATATAAAACTACACCCTGGTGTTGCAGAAATTGGACTCAGGAAATTTTCAAATTAAATAGCGTTTTTATTCACCTCGTCTAGAAACCTATAACTCTGGATACTCCATTCTTTAAACGCAGTAAACATGAACCATTAGATATAAAACCAAATGTCTGTAAATAACAAATGTGCAACTGCAGTATAGATATTTGACTTGAAACGATATCCATGTATAGTTCAAAAATGGAGTTACCTGAAAAGCATATGCAGGTATAATATGTATATTCTTTAATACTTTAATCTAGAGAACATTTTCAATTGTTTTTTAAGATATCATAATCATGTTTGAGCTTTTTGAGTTTGAATTAAAAAGTTGCAATTCGTGCAGGGGCGCTTTGAGATTTTAACTTTGACAGGATCGTTCACATTTTCTGAAAATGGTGGGATAAAAAGTAGGATAGGCGGACTAAGCGTTTCTTTGGCTGGCCCTGATGGTCGTGTTATTGGTGGTGGAATTGCGGGTATGCTAACGGCTGCTACTCCAATACAAGTAAGGCCTTTTCATCAGGCAGTATGTGAACTTTTTATTTCGCTAGCTACTTGTGATCTCTATCTATATCCTGTTTGGCACCCATTTTTATTAAAATGCATTTTTTTCTCTCTTCTTTTCAACCACACATTTTTTATTAAAATAATATTACACGTAAATCAAAAACTTTTTCTTATTTTTCAACCACACATTTCCCATCAATTTACTATTCAAAAATGCATTTTCACATAACAATTCCAACCAAACACCCTCATAATCTACTCCTCGTGCTTATACTCCAGATCGTGTCTTTAAGTGATATGATACGTTCTGAATCCTTCTAGACTTGCGTATCTTTTTTGTTGGAAAATCTATATGATACAACTTCTTTTCTAGATATCAAGCATATGTTTCAGAAATATGAGGCATCTTGCTATTTGATCCCTTGATAAATGTTTCTGGAAAAGATATATTTTCTTCTGAATCATTAACTATGGATTGTAAAGCATAAGAAGAAATTTTGAAAACTACTGACTTCCAAAAGTTTCTGCTTTTCTGGTCATCTCTTCGTCCGCATTTAGGTGTCATCAAAAAGTCAAATGATGGGAGATAATTGACATAATGCCTCAGAAACAGATAGATGTGACCATATTCCTACATTGTTGTAAATTGTATTAGTTCAATGTTGCACACAGGCGTACTTCTTTTTAGCGTTGATCTACTGTTTTGTGTACTTACTAGTTGTCAATTACGTCTTTGAATCTTTTTATCATCTTTGTTAATGGAAAAGCTATTGAACAATGGTGAAATTGGGCACATTACTCCTGATTAGACAGTTTTGCTGGGTTAGGCACGCTGTACTCTATGTTCATGTCCGAATTCCAAAAAATAAAAAATAAATTCGGGGTCGGTTAGAAGATCCGTTTTCCATTAATCTGTGGTCTTGGGCCGCTGTATGTTAATCTAAATGAAAGACTTGACACTTCCATGTATTCACTGCAAAATTTATGCGTATTCTGATTTATTTTGACAGATTGTTGTTGGAAGCTTCATGCCAAATGGTTACAAGACACCTAAAAGAAAGCAAAATCTTGAATCCAGAGTTTCTTCTCTGATCCATAGTCCTCCGGCTACAATGACAACAGCAACACCAATATCGCAAGTGGCACCAGAAATCAACTTCCCACTAGTTCCAACGTCTCAATTGCCAGTGCCGAATCAGGGAGAAGCAGATAATAACACGAACACTAAAGAGTGTCAGTACTCCACATCTACAGTTACTGCTAACTGGAATGGTACAGAGCCAATTTCTGAACAGAGACCATCTCCCGACATTAACATCTCTGTATCTGTTGATTAGCAACGAAACAAGTCTATAACCAAGTAGATTTATGATACGGTAATTCCAGTTATTAGCTTTAGGCATATGAAAGTGAGTCAAAAGGGGACATGGTTAGTTATATGATGCATAATTTCTCTTTTTCCTTATTCTTGTGAACATTTAGTTTAGATTCCTTGTGAATTTTCAAATGAGGTGTTATATTGTTGTTCAAAATCAATCAAACGTTTGTGGAATGGAAAATGGAATCAAAAGCCATAAATTGGCCTATGCGGTCTTTAATGTCATGGGATTAAAGATGAAAGAGAAAAATACAGAGTTGAGGGATCTCAATATCCTTCTAATAGTGTGGTCGCATAGGAGTTTATAGAGAATTAGAGCTTCGCCATCTTTTGATACATGCAATCGCATAGAACAAGATTGTAGCCGTTAATGATAATTTTGGTTTAAATTTTGGTGGCCTTTCATTTAATTTTGGCACCACTTCGTGAAGTTTGTTTTAAATCTATAAATAGGTGATCATTGTTCATCGCTAGAAGATTGAAACACATAGAATTCATTTGATTCCACGAAACAAAAGAACATCAATGTTTCCTCATATTCAATTCCTTTCTTTGTGTTCTTGAGTTTTGGAGGATTTTACTTAATGCTTGAGTGATTAATTCTTTTCAGGGCTTGATAATTCCTGCAAACCATTTGCCCAGTACCCTTGAAGCATCTAATTTCAATTTGAGAGGGGGCAAATATTGTTTAAGGACAACGATATCGTGTTCGAGCCTTCTATTTCTATATTCTTCTTGGCTTTATTCGTGTTTCTTCTCCATTTCTCTCGTGTGAAAGAAATATTTTCTAACAATCTCAAATGATATTTCTGTCAAATGGAGAACGAAATCACTATGACGACAATCAAATTGATGAATCAAGATCTTGTTCAACTAGATCGCTTTGATGACACTAACTTCACAAGATGGGAGGACAAATTGAAGTTTCTACTAACGGCACCGAAAATATACTACATTCTCGATTCGAAATTGGCACCACTACTAGAACAAACAAATGGAGAAATCGAAGCCATAAAATTTTAAAGACAAAAGCAACAAGAGGATGAACTTATATGTTGTGACCACATACTCAATGCATTGTCCGATCGATTGTATGATCTCTACACCAACACATCCCCAGTGAAAGAAATTTGGAATGCATTAGAGAGTAAGTACAAAGTCGAAGAAGAAGGTACCAAGAAATTTTTAATTTCCAGGTATTTTGATTCTAAGTTTTTAGAAAATATTCCTCTTCTTCCCCAAATTCATGAATTGCAATTCCTCGTCAACAAGTTGAAAGCAATCAAAATTGAAATCCCGAAAACTTTCCAAGTGGAAACAATTATTGCAAAACTCTCGGGGACTTGGAAGGGATATCGGAAGAAGATTATGCATATTTCCAAAGATTGCTCTTTAAAACAATTGCAGATACATCTTCCCATCGAGGAAGAGTTACAGCAAATGCCATAGAAAAGATCGAGCCTTCTAAATCCAACAAGAGAAAGTCTTCCATGAACTTTAACAAGTTTAAGAAGAAGATCAAAGGCAGTTATTTTGTATGTAAAAAACTTGGACATTATGCAAAGGAATGTCGACACTGGAAAAAAACAACTCTGAGAGAAAAGTAAACTACATCAAAGAAGACAACATTATGGCCATCGTAAGTGAGATCAATGCTATCAAGGGTAAGGTTCCCTATTGGTGGTATGTTACATGTGCAACCTTACATGTTTCATATGATAAATCATTGTTCAAGACATACTTTGAAGTGGATGGAGATCACGAAATTCATATGGGTAACGAAATTCGATCCAAAGTAATTGAAAAAGAAAATGTAGAAATATCTTCACTTTTGGTAAGACCGTTACCTTGACTAATGTGTTGCATGTTCCCGACATGAATAGAAATTTGGTTAGTGAAAATCTCTTGGGAAAATCAGGCGTAAAATGTGTTTATGAGTCCGGTAAACTTGTATTATCCTTAAACAAAAAATTTGTTGGTAAAAGTTATTCTTGTGAAAGAATGGTCAAACTATATATTGGTGACAAGTTGAATAATAATAAAGTTGATTTTGCTTATATTGTTGATTCTTTTACTTTGTGGCATGCTAGATTAGGACACGGGAAAAAGTACTATGACGAGAATGTTAAAATCTAATTTGATTTCACACAATGAAAACGATGTATTTGAATGCAAGACACGTGTTGAATCTAAAATGATTAGGAAGCCATATCAAAGTGTAAAAAGAACTTCTAGTATTATCGAATTAATTCATACGGACATATATAAATTAAATGGAATGTTAACTAAAGGTGAAAATATGTATTATATTACCTTTATAGATAATTCCTCTAGGTTACATATATTTATTTGATGAAACATAAATATGAGGCTTTTGATCTGTTTAAAACATATAAGAGTGAAGTAGAAAATTACTTAAGCAAGAAAATAAAAATTTTAAGAAGCGATAGAGGTGGAGAATATTTTTCTAGTGATTTTAATTTATTTTGTGAACAACAAGGAATTGTCCATCAATATTCAGCACCTAGGACACACGAACAAAATGGTTTAGTTGAAAGAAAAAATAAAACTTTAGTATAAATGATAAATGCTATGTTAAATTATCCTAAGTTGCCATTCAACTTGTGGGAGTAAAGCATCGTTGAGTGGATGTAAAATACTAAATAGGATTCCTTCAAATTTTAGTAAAGTTTCGCCTTTCGAATTATGGAAATGGATAAAACCTAACATTGGATACATCAAAGTGTGAGAGTTCTTACTTATTGTAAGAATACAAACCCTAATAGGACCTAAAGGCATCAAATGTACCTTTGTTCGATATGCTACTAATAGCAAATTATATAGATTGTTAAATTTGGAGACTAATGTGATAATTGAATCCAGTGATGTAGAGTTCTTTGAAAATTCACTATCTTCGGATAATGAATTAAGGAAAATTCATAAAAAAATTCCAAACTCTAGTGGAACACAAGACAAAACATCTTTTAAAAATGTTAATGAATCTAGTGAACCTCGAAGAAGCAAAAGAACTTGAATTGAGAAGTCTCTAGGACCAGATGAAATTAACTCTCAACTTATTTCCTTTATGTTAGTAGAGAAAAGTGAAAAGAATGTTGTAAGAGCAATTCTTTTTGTTTTACAAGTGAAAACTAATCCTAAAACTTATAGAGGGGCTGTGACTTCTCGAGATAGCATATTTTGGAAAGATACAATTAAAGATGAAATGGATTCAACTATGTCGAACAATACATAGGAACTTGTCAATTTATCCAAATCTATTGGATGTAAATTGGTGCTTAGGAGAAAATATAATGTTGATGGTTCTCTTAACACCTTTAAAGCTAGATTAGTGGCTAAAGGTTATCGATAAAAAGAAGGAATATATTATTTTGATATTTATGCACCGGTAGTTAGAATAACATCAATTAGGATATTATTCGAGCTGGTTTCGATACATGACTTACATGTTCATCAAATGAATGTCAAGACGACATTCTTAAATGGAGACTTTGATGAAAAGGTCTATATGGAACAACCTAAAGGATTTGCACTATCAGGAAATGAACATAAAATATGCCAGTTAGTGAAATCGTCATACAGTTTAATACAAGCACCTAAGAAATAGCAAGAAAAGTTCGACCTAGCTATAATATCATTTGGTTTTTAGATATAATAATGTAGATAAATGTTTATATTCCAAATTATGTTATGTAATATTTATTTGCTTATATGTTGACGACATGCTGATTATAAGTAATCACATGTATGAAATAGAAGAAATGAAAAAGTTTCTATCTTCCACATCCAAGATGAAGAATCTTGGAGAAGTGGATATCATTTCGGGTATCAAAGTTACTAAAGATAGTGGGGGTTATAATTTAAATCAGTCACATTATATTGAGAATGTAATAAATAAGTTCAAGCATTCGAACATAAAAGAATATATTACCCCTATTGATCCAAGTTCAAAACTTATGAAGAATGATGAAAGGGTAGTTGTTCAATAGGAATACGCAAGTGTTATAGGAAGTTTAATGTATGTTGTGCAATGCATTAGACTAGACATAGCATTTGCAATTAGTAAGTTTAATCAGAGAAATGAAAATTGGAAGGCCGTTGAAAGAGTTCTAGGATACTTAAATAAAATCAAAAAGTTAGGTCTACAATATACTAGATTTCCGGCTATATTAGAAGAATTTATAGATGCTAGTTGGATATCAAGCACGGGAGAAAGTAAATCTAATTTGGGTTGGGTGTTTACGTTTGTAGGAGGAGCTGTTTATTAGAAATCAAATAAACGAACATGTATAACATATTCGACTATGGAATCCGAATTTATAGCATTATCAGAAAGAAGCTGGCTTAAGGATCTACTATATGAGATACCGTTGAGATCGAAGAACATAGCTTCAATATCTATCGTGTGTGATAGTCAAGTCACCTTAGCAAAAGTATACAATGAAGTATATAATGAAAAGTCTAAACATATGAGTCTTAGACAAGATTACATAAGGAAATTAATCAAAAGCCGAATAATTTTCCTCAATTATTTAAGTCAATCGAGAATTTAGTGAATCTTTTATCTAAACCTCTAAATAGAGATTTAGTGACGTCTACTTCAAGAATAATGTGGTTGAAACTCTTGAACTAAAAGGTTCACCAATGATAACAACCTTACCTGTTATTACTAAACAAGTAATCTATAGATTCAAAGGATAACAAGTCATTCGATATGTTGATAGTTTTAGCATTATAAATCCGTGATAACCCTATTCGAATTGAATAATGCTGATTGCAACTGAAATGATGGTTGAGTTTTAAGCACTTAATGAAGTTCAGTAGTAAGTACAAGTATCTCTCAAAATAACAAAAATGCTGGAAGAACTTCACCTAGATAAATTTCGAGGTGGTGCTGCCTCAATAGAGAGTTAGAATTTCTCTCTTAAAAGTTTGTCGAAAAGGATAAGCGCAATGTCATCTAAGCGTTAAGCAAGTTTGAGGAACTTGAGAACTCGTGATACTTATGTGTGTTCTTACAGGCATAGTCATAAGGAATTATTGGTTCAAAGCTTCAATTCTACTTTTGATTCTGACTTTACTTTGTTTGAATTGCATTATGGTTAGATTGAGATCGAAAGATATCTAATCCGTATGCATGAGTATTGTATTTTTGAATATGAG